ACTCCAGCCTGGGCAACAGAGTGAGACTCCATCTCAAAAGAAAAAAAAAAAAATTAGTAGTGCAGGCCTGTAATCAGGAGGCTGAAGCAGGAGAATCGCTTGATCCCAGGAGACAGAGGTTGCAGTCAGCTGAGATCATGCCACTGCACTCCAGCCTGGGAAACAGTGAGACTCCATCTCAAAATTAAATAAAAAAATATATAGATAGCACTTACAGCATGCCTACATAGATCAATATGATCTTTAGTTTTGTTTTGTAAATGAAGACCCCTTCTTTTACCTGCCCCTGCAGGCTTCCTTCCTCTGAGATTTTGATCATTCCTCCTGTCTCCATCCCCTCTTTCGTGACCAGAGGAGGAGCCTGTCCAGCCTCTTATTTTGTGTGCTGAAATAGTATCACCCAGGCTCTTAATGATACTCTGTGGCCTGTGGTAACAGTCTATTGACACGTTTGGCAAAAAAATAGACAAAAGCAATATTGCTTCAAAAATTATTTTTGGCTGAATGCAGTGGCTCACATCTGTAATCCCAGCACTTTGGGAGGCTGAGGTGGGCGGATCATCTGAGTTCAGTAGTTCAAGACCAGCTTGGCCAACAGGGTGAATCCCCATCTCTACTAAAAATACAAAATTAGCTGGGCATAGTGGCAGATGCCTGTAATACCAGCTACTTGAGAGGCTGAGGCAAGAGAACTGCTTGAATCCAGGAGGTGGAGGTTGCAGTGAGCTAAGATCATGCCACTGCACTCAAGCCTGGAGGACAAAGCAAGACTGTCTAAAAAAAATTTTTGGAGCTCAATATCCTTGGCATTTGAATCATTTTCTGGTATAGCAACACGTATTCCTTTTTGTTTAGTGTGATATAGGCCTGGTGTAGACACAGTTTTTAAAAATTTAAGAACTTTAAATACCTTTTTTCTTTTTTTTCCACTGTCCTCAGAGCAAGAAGATCAGAATTAAATACCTTTTGATCTCATCCTGTTGCTTCCAAGAAAGCTCCTTCACCAACATGTGATCTTCGCGAAGTCGAAATAAACTGTCCTCCAGTTCCTCCCGGTTCATCCTGCTGAAGGGTGGTTGAGTTTTCATATTCTTACCTAAAGTCCCGGAAGAGAGTAAATGATCAGTATTTTTACATGTATTTTTTTTTTTAACCCTTCTGGTCTCTCATCACATCTTGCCCAGAGAGCATAAATATTTTGAGTCAAGTATTTATGAGGAAATTCACAAAGTATAAGAAATGACTCCAGCTGGGTGCAGTGCTCACACCTGTAATCCCAGCACTTTGGGAGGCTAAGGCAGGTGGAACACAAGGTCAGGAGTTCAAGACCAACCTTGCCAACATGGTGAAATCCTGTCTCTACTAGAAATACAAAAATTAGTTAAGCATGGTGTCAGGCATATAGAATCCCTGTTACTCTGAAGGTTGAGGCTGGAAAATTGCTTGAACCCAGGAGGCAGAGATTGCAGTGAGCCGAGATTGTGCCGCTGCACTCCATCCTGGACGACAGAGCAACACTCTGTCTCAAAAAAAAAAAAAAAAGAAATGACTCCTAGTGGAGGCTCTTTTCTATATTATTACAGCATGAGGGTGTGACTCAACCCTCCACCTAGAAAGTACATTCTCTAGATAACAATATCCAATAAGACTTATTCTACTTATTTTGAGACAGGGTCTCCCTATCACCCAGGCTCAAGTGCAGTGGCGCAATCTCGGCTCACGGGTTCAAGAGATTATCCTGCTTCAGCCTCCAGAGAGACTAGGATTACAGGCACCTGCCACCACGCCCAGCTTGTTTTTGGATTTTTAGTAGAAATGGGCTTTCACCATGTTGGCCAGGCTGGTCTCCAACTCCTGACTTCAGGTAATCCACCTGCCTCGGCCTCCTTAAGTGCTGGGATTACGGGCATGAGACACTGCGACTTGTCTATTTTTATATTCTTATTAGAAAATTTAGACCTAGACAAGGATTGTTCCCATGACTGTCTTCAGAAACCCAGTAAGGAAAAGGATAAAAACTTTTCTTGAGCCTGGGTGTGGTGGCTCATGCCTGTAATCCTAGCACTTTGGGAGGCCGAGGCAGGTGGATCACCTTAGGTCAGGTGATTGACCTGACCAACATGGAGAAACCCCATCTCTACTAAAAATACAAAATTAGCTGGACATGCCTGTAATCCCAGCTACTCGGGAGGCTGAAGCAGGAAAATCACTTGAACCTGAGAGGCACAGGTTGCAGTGAGCCAAGATCCAAGATTGTGCCATTACACCCCAGCCTGGGTAACAAGAGCAAAACTCCAGCTCAAAAGCAAAACAAAAAAACAAAACTTTTGATTATCAAGAACCATCTTATTTTTCTGGTCAGGAAAAACTGTCCCCAAAGCTACCTCCTTAGACAGGATCCTTTGCTTGCTCTAAGCAGAGGAAACTAGAGCACACTTTTCAGTGGGCGTGTTCACGAGCCCTGGTCTGCTCTGATCTCATGGTGAATAGGAACCACAGTTATTAATATTATTATTTACACAGAGTCTATCACTGTTGCCCAGGCTGAGTGTAGTGGCGCAATCTTGGCTCACTGCAACCTGCGTTTTCCTGTCTCCCGGGTTAAAGAGATTCTTGTGCTTCAGCCTCCCGATTAGCTGGGATTACAGGCACATACCACCTAGCTCAACTAGTTTTTATATTTTTAGTTACCCAGTACCAACTCGGATGTAAAGAATCCCACCTTGGCAGTGCTGAAGGAACTGAGCAGCGGACACTCAGAACAGCAAAGTAGAGCTGAGGGGCCACCAGCCTTCCAAGCTGACAGCCTCAAAGACTGACAGCATTCTAGGCTGAAGGCCCCGAGAAGACGCTGACCCAGGCTTTTAGTCTCTCTGAACAGGTGATCATTATTAACAAACAGGTGTTCGGTATTTTCTCATAACACAAAACATGCCAGGTAGACAGCTGGTGCCCGCTTACCACTGATCACAAACAACCTAAAAAGTATTCTCCACGAGGGAGCTGTGGGGGCAGGGTCAGATAGCTTAAATAATTGTTTTAACAGGTGTATGATATCTATATATTGTCGTGCCACTTTGGAATGCCCCAAGTAGTTTTCTACTTGGGAGGGGGCAGCTAGGTTTTCCTTGCCATCATTCTTCCTAGCAAACAATATATTCTATCATACACTCAGCATTCGTCAATATTCATAAACTTAACATTTCTCAACATCAATATTCATACACATTACATTTCTCAACATTTAGTAGAGACGAGCCTTCACCATGTTGGCCAGGCTGGTCTCAAACTCCTGACCTCAAGTGATCGCTCCATCTCAGCCTCCCAAAGTGTTAGGATTACAGGCGTGGCCGCCACACCAGGCCACGAACCATCTTAAAATCCCAGAATACAAAAGACAGCTTCTTTCCACACTGGGAAGAAGGAGGGCTCAAACCTTTGGTCTCAGAACCACCTCAGTCATCACCATCACCTCATTGATCTATCCTTTGGAAGATGACATGAAAATTTTCAAAGAACAGCTTTGTTGAGGTATAATTGATATGTAATTCACTGTACATATTTAAAGTGAAAATTTGGATTAATTTTGACATTTGTGTATACCTGTGAAACCACCACCACAATTAGGGTAATGAACATATTCTACATTTCCAAGTTTCCTTGCATCCATTTGTAATCCATTCCTTCCCACCCTACTCCAACCTAAACTTACCCTGCCTTTGTTCCCAGGAATCAACAAATACGTTTTATGTCATTGTAGATTAGTTTCCATTTTCTAGAATTTTTATTCTTTTTAATTTTTTTGAGAAAAAGTCTTGCTCTTGCCCAGCTGGAGTGCAGTGGCACAGTCTTGGCTCACTGCAACGTCTGCCTCCCAGGTTCAAACATTTCTCCTGCCTCAGCCTCCTGACTAACTGGGACTACAGGTGTGCGCCACCAAGCCCAGCTAATTTTTGTTTTGTTAGTAGAAATGGGGTTTCACCATGCTGACCAAGCTGGTCTCAAATGCCTGACCTCAAGTGATACACCTACCTTGGCCTCCCAAAGTGTGGGGATTACAGGTGTGAGCCACCCCACCTGGCCACTATTTTCTAGAATTTTACATAGCTCAATTAATCCACTGTGTACCTTTTTTTTGGTCTGACTTCTTTCACTCATTATAATTATTTTGAGATTGATTCACGGTATTTCATAGGTCAATAGTTCCTTTTTTTTTTTTTTTTTTATGGAGTTTTACTCTGTCACCCAGGCTGTAGTACAATGGTGTGATCTCGGTTCATTTCAACTTCCACCTCCCAGGTTCAAGCAATTCTCCTGCCTCAGCCTCCTGAGTATCTGGGATTACAGGTATGTGCCACCATACCTGGCTAATTTTGTATTTTTAGTAGGGATGGGATTTCTCCATGTTGGTCAGGCTGGTCATCAACTCCCAACTTCAGGTGATCCGCCCACCTCAACCTCCCAAAGTGCTGGGATTATAGGCGTGAGCCACTGCGCCCAGCTTCAATAGTTCCTTTTAATTGCTGAGTAATATTGTATGAACATACCATATTTATCCATTCACTTTTTTTTTCATTATTCTCCCTAACATATTCTATCACATATCCATTCACGTTTTTAAAAATATTCATTTATTTTTGATCGGCATTGAATCATTTCCATTTTTGGCTATTACTGTTACAGCTGCTATGAACATCTATGTACAAGTCTTTGTGTGGACATGTTTCTGTTTCTTTTGGGTAAATAGAAAAGTATAAAACAGTTGAGTCACAAGATAGGTGTATGTTTAATTTTTTTTTTTTTTTTGAGATG